GTTGGGCCCATGGGTGGCCTGAACACTCCCAAGGTGCCTGTGTCTCTCTGCAGAGGTTGGGGATCTTTGCTTTGCCCAACTATAAACCAGTTGGGTGGAAGAGCAAAGGAAGAACTGAAGGGGAAAACCCTGGCCAACTTTTTGCTAGATGCTTTCACCTCCTGAAGTTTCTCTTGTGGTGGGGCACTGCAGGTTTTCAGTACAAGGCAAGGATATCTAAACGCCAGCGAAAAAATCTGCTTTCCTCTAACCCAGTGCTCAGCAACAGCTGAAGCAGTTTTGCTGAAACTTTAAACATACTCAGCATGAGGCAGATTCCCTCAGAACAGAATTTTTTCCACCTGGATGATTTAAATTTGGCAAAATCATAATCAGATGAATATAGGGATGTAGGATGGAAAATGATAAGCTATTGCCAGCTCTGCCTAGAATAATAGTTCATATGTTGTCCACCCCTTTTTAGACCAAGATTTGTCTTGTTCTGCTACATCTAATGAATGCTTTTAAGACTGACCTGCCTTAATGTTTATTATGGTTGTAACCTATTTAGTAAATCAAATCACAACAATGAGGAGGAGGAAGATGTGAGAAGTGAATATCTAACAGATGAGTTATCTGGAAGACGGCAGCACTGACTGACATCACCCTGCAACTCACGGTGCCTCTGTCTGGAGCAGTCTGGCTTCTACAGCGCTAGAAAAATCAGAGAGGTGAACTCCCTCCTATTTCCTCCTTGGAAGGTGTTCAAGGCTGTGGCCTCACCTCTCTTGGAAGAATCTTGAAATATTTTCAATAATGGGAAGGGGTGGAATGGCTGCAGGCTGGATCCTCTTGGAAGGCGCCCTGTAGCTGCTGGTAGCCTGCTCTGGCTGTTAAAAGATGGACTTTGCTGGATTGCTCACTGATTCTGCACAGCCAAACGCAGTTATTGCTGCTAGGAATGATTCATCTGTGGTGTAACTCTCCTGAAGTCTGCAGTGTCACAGAGGGTTCTATTTTTGAGGGCAGAAACCGAGCATGTACCATGCCAAAAAAATACATGTTAGTGGTAATAGGACCTGCAAGGCAAGAAAAGAGTTCTGTGCTTCGAGACTCATTTCGCTTATAAATCGTGGTCTAGTTTATGTATTGCCCGGAATAACCACCCCAGGAATCAGAAATCTTCTATGGGGCGTTTATCGCAGGTAATGGGGGTGCTGTGGAAATACCGCCCGGCACTTGTCGCTGGCTTTGGAAACGCTCATCTCCTGATTTGCCGACATGATGTGGTGGTGGGGGGTGGGTGGGTGCGGGTTGTTTGATTTTTTAAATTGATTCATTTTATCTTAACGTTTTTGCCTGACGACAACCGGGCGCAGTCGAGCGCCCCTCCGCCGCTCGACCCCCCCGCCGTGCGCGCCCGCGGTGCCGCCGTCCAGGTGTTTCGCGTTAGCGCCGCCCTGTAAAACCTGCTCACGAACACGGTGACACATAAACGCTAAATTAAAGCGGCGCTGCTCCCCCCTCACCTCGGGGCCGGGGGGCGAGGGACACCCGGCCACCCGCAGCCGAGCCCAGCCCCGGCGCCTCCTCCACGGGGGTGCGCGGCCCCACGCCGCACCGGGAGGGAGGGAGACAGCGGCGGGAGGCTCCGAAGCCCCACCGGAGCCAGTGGGCTGCCCGCTGCTTCCCGTAAGGGCTTCCCCCCGAGGCACCTGTGGGGCACCGTCTTTGGGGAAAGCGGCTCCGGGCTCCACGCAGGACGGAGGCTGGAAGTGGAGGGAAACAGGCTCAACTCAGCCGGTAAGTGTGGCTGGACCGGGCTTATAGCACAGCCCGGGAGCACCGTCCTGCGAAGTCGCCGTGGCAACATCACTCGGGGGGGCATTTGAGGGACGGCCGGTGTCAGCCAGGCCCCCGCTGCCTCCTCCGAGGAGCCGGCCCGACCCCATCCCCACCAGCCCCCCCCTCTTTCGGGGACGCACGAAGCGGCACGTTGGCACCGGCCTTCCCCAGACGGAGCCGTTCCTCCGGGAGCGCGTCCCGGGCGGCGACGGGGGAGCCGGGCATCCCCCGGGCACCGCCGTCGGGGCTGGCGGTGGAGCCGCCTGCAACAAGTGCGGCGGTCCCTGATTTCCCCCCCTTCTTTTTTTTTTTTTTTCCTTGAGTTCAGAACTCCTCGAAGGCGAGGGATTTCACAGAAAGTGAAGGGGAGGACAGGGCCCCGAAGTTATTACACGAAATAATGAGTTCTCCAGCCGATCCCTTCGGGCTGAGCTGTGCCAGTGCGGGGATGCACACATACGGCCCCACCGCCCTCCAGAAAGCCCCTGATTAACAAGAAAACTTGGGGGTGTTTCAAGTGCATTCCAAGAAAATTAATGTGAAAGGTTTGTTTTGGTTTTGGGTTTTTTTTTTGTTTGTTTGGTTTTGTTTGGTTTGTTGTCTTTTTTTTTTTTTTTTTCCTTAATCGTGAAAGGACTGTATTTATTTTTTTCTCTCTCTCTCCCCCGAGTGCTTTCCAGAGGGAACCTGGAGAAGAAATAATAAAAATATTAAAAAATATTAAAGAACTGTCTTGGTTGCACTGGTCTTGTAGTGTCTACAGCACCCTTACTTTAAATGCCCGTTAGACTGTAAAATCCAATCAAAGCTGTATTCATCACAGTAATATTGGTAATAACGTATTTTATCCGAAGCTGCATTATCTCCCTCACAACAGAACTACAGACAAAATGTATGTTCCAAAAGAAAGGGAAACGGTTTTATTTAATCCAGAAAATAATTAAAATCTCATGTATTTTTATTGGTTTTAGTATCCAGCAGAGTGAAAATATTGAAACTCCGAGACCCCTTGCATTAAAAAGTCACAACTGTTCTATTTTATTAGTTCTGACTGTGTGAAAAAAATTATAAGGACAACATTGAAAAAATCCGGGTTTTAGAGCCCCGAATGGCTATAAAAACAATAAAATCAACTATAAAACCTGCACTAGTGATATTAAAAAATTATGTAGTTCAATAAATGTGACATTTCATGAATGCGGATTTAATAGTCTCCAACCCATGGAAGGAGGAAGGCTAAGGTCTAACAATTGAATTTGAAAGGGGCGGTGCTGTAGAACTGCAAAATTAAGTGCTTCATTTTTCTTGTTAGGGATTATGCAGTGGTAGTGGAATGTAATAACTGTGCCATTAAAACTTCCTTTTAACAAGGCCTATTGCTTGTATAAAAGTCAGAAAAGAATAATCTCTTCCTCTATTTATTTGTTTTCCAATAATACAGCAAAACATGTTTTTTTCTTTCTTTCATTCTTTCTTTCTTTCTTTCTTTTTGCTTAAACTTGTTCTCAGGATTTTGAATCGACAGCTTGTAAAATATTGTGGGGGCCCTCCATACTGCTGCCTCGTATCATGCACGTCGTTATTCCAGAGGGCAACGGGTCATCGGTTTACTGTACATTTATTAAGTAAATCAAGCTGCAAATCCAACACTTCCAGATGAAAACATTAGCTAAACCCCTTGGAAAGAGCAATGCCTGGGAGACTGAGCACAGAGAGAAAAAATAATCAAAACTGTCAGCTCGCTTTACGTGTACCTGATATTTACAAGACACAAGACCACGCTTTAAAGGTGAATTTTGGCATTTGTTAACAATGTAAAGAAAAAAAACCCAACCTCCCTATATTATTAAAAATATATATATTTCCATTTCACCAACACCCTTTCGTCTTGCTCTGAGCCTCTGAGTTATTAAGATCTTCGTGGGTTTGAACTGGAGACCTTTTTTTTTAAAAAAAAAAAAAAAAAAAAAGTTAAACCAGCACCTGCTATTCCTTAACAGCTTTCCGTGCGCGCTGTCAGCTCAGCGGCGTGGGGGGAAGACGGGGGATGGGCCACCCGGCGGGGTCCGCGGACACGCAGGGGGCACCTGCCGCCTCCGCTCCCACGGGCAGGGAGAAAGCGGTGCCACCCGCCGCCATCGGGGAAGGTGCCAGGGTGGGTGACGGGCTGCGGGCAGAGGGGGAGTCGCTGCCTCCTCCTGCCGCCCCCCAACCCCGGCCGGCAGCGGCACTGGGCGAGGGGCAGCCCCACCGCGGGGCTGGGAGCCGACAGCAGCCGGACGGAGCGCACGGCCCTCCCCGGGGGCGGCGAGGCAGGAGGAAACACCCGGCGGGTTTTTAAAAATGGAATCGATGGTGCCCAGGTGGCGCTGCTCGGGCCGCTGCGGGGCTGTCGGGGAGCGGGTCCCCAGCGCCGCGCACCACCCCGCTGGGGGTGGCCGCCCCCGCCGCACCCGTTCACCGGCCGGTTCCACCCGTCGGTGCCCGACGAGGCGCGGAGCAGTAAGTCGCGCCGCACTGCTCCGCGCCCCGCCGCGCTCTCGGCCCCCGGGGGCCTGCGCGTTCCTGCCGCCCTCCGCCCACGCGCGGCCCCCGGTCCGCGGCCGCGCTACCACGCCCCTTTCCCGAAGGGCCTGCGGAGCACGGCAAGCTCCACGGGGCGGGGGCCGCGCCCCCCCTTCTCCGCCTCCTCCCTCAGTCCGAGGCCGGGCCACTCTGCGGGGGCTCAGCGTTCTCCCCCGCGGGGAAGCCCGAAACGCGGGCAACACCGTGTCGTACGGGAGCAGAGGAGCGGGAGCCGGTGGGGGCAGCGGCGGGCCCCCTGCCCGCTGCCGTCGCACCTCCTCCCCGTACCCCCGGCCCCTCCTGCGTGGTGCCGTCGGGTCCCGGGCGGGCTGCGCATCGCGCCCCGCTGCCCGGGCTCCCCCGGGCCGCTGCGGTGGTTGATTGGCGCCGCGGGGAGTTTGCTCGGGGAGGCGGGGGGAGTGTTTGCCGGCGGGGGGTGGTTTCCCCCTTCCCTGGCCGGGCTCATTGGCTAGACGGAGCCGTGGCAGGAAGGGGACAGAGACCACGCGGGCTCCGCCCCGCGCCAATAGAAACCTATCGAAGGGTAACCCGAGCCCAGAGAAACCCGCGGCGGCGGTGCCAGCACCCAGCCGCCGCGGTCGGGGCCGGCTTTTCGCAGGGGCGGCCGGGGGCGCGGGGGGTGCGCGGGCGGCGGCCGCGCCATGCAGTACCAGCCGCCGGGCGCGGCGCCGGCGGCCCTGGGCGTCGGCGTCCCGCTGTACGCGCCCACGCCGCTGCTCCAGCCCGCGCACCCCACGCCCTTCTACATCGAGGACATCCTGGGCCGCGGCCCCGCCGCCGCCCCGGCCCCCCACTCCCTGCCCGCCCCGCCGCCGCCGACGCTGCCGTCGCCCAACTCCTCCTTCACCAGCCTGGTGTCCCCGTACCGGACCCCCATCTACGAGCCGACCCCCATCCACCCGGCCTTCTCCCACCATCTCGCCGCCACCTACGGCACCGGCGCCTACGCCGGGCCCCTCTACTCCTTCCCGCGCGCCGTCGGCGACTACGCGCACGCCCTGATCCGGCAGGACCCCCTGGGTAAGCCGTGCCCCCCCCGCCTCGCCCTCCTCGGCTGCCGCCTCGCCGCTCCCATACCGTCCCCGTCCCGCCGTCGGAGGCTGGGGGGGGGGGCAGTGGGAAGCCACTGAAATCTTCCCCTCTGTCCCGCCGCCCCTCCGCGCTCCCCCTGGCTCCCTCCGGCCCCCATCTGATTTACAGTAAATTAAAGACGCGCCGCGCTCCGGCGCTGGCAGCGAGACCACAGTGCGCGGCCGCGGTGACTCAGATTTGTTTTCCTTCAACCAAGTGACTCTGAGAGTGTCCTTAGTAATGTCGCATGTGGTTTTGGTGGGGAGTTTTAATTGTGCTGGGAGATCGCATGGCAGATCTCAGCCTTTTCCTGCGGATGACTTGAAAAACAGTAGAGAGCTCGGCTCCGCTTGTCGGGGCCCCCGTGGCTGCCCGACGGGGGGGGTCGGGCCGGGCCGGGGCCCCGCGGCTCCTTCTCGCCCACGGCCGGGGGACGCGGCCCCGCTGCGGGGGCTGAGCCCCGCGCCCGGTCTGCAGCACTTGCTCTTAGTGATTGCAAAACTGGACCTGAGTCACCACATTTGTGCAGTGAAAGAGGCTGACCCTTTCCGTTCATACAGGAAACCTTGAGCTCTCGATAGGAGTAAATCTGGTTTCAGAAGCTGTTAAGTGTTTTCCTGGCCGCCTGAAGCAGGCTCTTCCCCGGGAGTCGTGCACATTGCTGATTACTTTATCGACATCCTCAATACAGACAAATTCAGGAAACACTCGACTTCTGATAGCCGGGATCCGTTTTTCTGATATTGTTCATTTCCTCTGTGTGGGATGTGACTTTATGACAGCTAAAATAACCAGTTGCTTCCTATTTTTTGAGTCTGTTTTGCACCAGAATTACTAAAGCCTGACGCAAGCAAAATCTTGAAAAACAATGCAGCAAATTTCAAAGGGTGCAGGCAGCAAGACAGAAAGACAAACAGAGTGACTCAGTGGCACTGGCCAGAGCCGCCGGCCCCGGGACGCGGCTGCCGCTCCGCCGCGGGCTGGGCTCCCCGCCGTGCTGCCGCCGGCCCCGCCGTGCCCCGCACCGCTGCCCCAAGCCCGGGCTGAGCCCGGCGGGCACCCACGGCCACGGGTGGGCAAGCCCCCAGCCTGGGGGGGGGGGGCGGCGCGGGGCGCTTCTCCCCCGAAGCGGCTGGCGGCCCCGTGCCCTCGCGTTGGTGCATCCCCCCTGGCCAGCCCCGCGATGTCCCTGCTCTGCGCAGGGACCCGGGAGCTGGTGCAGGGTAAGAGCAACGGTTTCTTTGGGGCATCGCAGTGAAAGAGCAGAAGGAAGCAAAGGTCTTGGGGTTTTTTTGTTGGTTTTTTTTTTTTTTTTTCTTTCTCTCTTTTCTTTGCGAGATAGACCAACAGGAAACACATTGACGGAAATGTTGCCAAAGCCCGTAGAGTGGCTTTAACTGGTCTCTCTGTTCGAGGGAGATGAAAAATCAGAGGAGGCGAGAGATCAGACTAGGAACTGGGGGAAATAAAATCAGGCGAAGGAAATTAGCGGGCCTTGGCCCGTCGCGCCTCCAGGCCTGGGCTCGGGCAGGGGCCGGGGCTCCCCGGGTGTGCATGTCCGTGGCCAGCCAGTGACCCTCGGCGTTGTGCCTCTCTTTGAAGGGAAGCCGCTGCTGTGGAGCCCCTTCATCCAGCGGCCGCTGCACAAGAGGAAAGGGGGGCAGGTTCGCTTCTCCAACGACCAGACCATCGAGCTGGAGAAGAAGTTCGAGACGCAGAAATACCTCTCCCCGCCGGAGAGGAAGCGCCTGGCCAAGATGCTGCAGCTCAGCGAGAGGCAGGTGAGGCCATGCCCGCACCCCCGGACACCGCACCCCATCCCCGGGCAGCCCCCGGGGCCGGCAGCCCCGCTCCGGCCCCACCGTGCGCACCACTCCTGGGGAGCCGGCCAGGGGGATGGGGGGGGGTGTGTGTGGGGGGCTGTTGCTTTCTCTCTGTGGCTTGGGTAAGGCTTCTGGTGCTTCCCGGCTCCGAGGCTACCCTGTGCCCTCTCTCGTTGTTGTTGCTCAGGTCAAAACGTGGTTTCAGAATCGCAGAGCCAAATGGAGGCGTCTAAAGCAGGTACGGGGATGTTTCTGTTTCTATAGAAATAAGTATTTTAATTGTCTTATCTTACACCGTGCTCGCCTATTCCAGGTTGTATGCAGAAGTCATCTGAAAGGCTGTTTAACCTCTTCACCTTGATTAAAAAGACAAATAGTCATGCTGGAATCCATGAGGGCTCATTCAGGCAGCACTAACGTTAAAAGCTCCTAATGTAGTTCCTATATCAATTATGCCTGGCTTTCACACACCGGCTATTAAAACTCCACGCTAATTGTTTTGTAAACCCATATGTTGTTTAGCCAATTAACGTGGAGAAGATAAGTAATTGTCAGTAAATTACTTAGGCAGTTGTTTTGGAGAAGAATATTTACTGGTCTTTTAAATCACCCTCTCTTAATAAACACAAGTCAATTTATTCTGCAAATGTTGGGAGTGTACAAATGCCTTGTTTTTAGGAGCCACATGGAAAACTGAGTAGCTTTTACTTTTAGTTTACAAAAGTTACAGTGTATGAGACTGAGAGGTTAAAGCGGTTTCCCTCCCCTTAGAAATTGTGCTCAAGCAGATAAATCTTTTTTTATGGCCTGGAGGGCCTGATTCTGCTCAGCTCAGACAGATCAAGGCCCCCTCAGCTCAAAGATTTGTGAAAAATGCCTGCATTGTGTCCCGAGTCCAGCTTCAGTAAATGTGACATGGACGGGGGAATTTTACTGGTAAATCAGCCTTTAATATAAAAATAATAAGAAAAGAAAACTAATCACAGTGCCATGCTCCAGATGGATTTGTTCTCTGAGCTTCCACTGGGTTTAACCCGTACTTCAGTTGATTTTCTAATAAAATCCCTTTGCTCTGGCAAGAGGCAGGCTGGTCCCTGGTGGTGCCTCCTCGGCAGGGCCCAACCCGCGCCACAGTGTCCAGAGAGCTCGCTTGGGATCTCGGCCATTTTAAGTCATTTCCTCCTTTTCATTCAGTCACATCTATTTCTCCAAGCCCACACAGTTATATCATGGGTACATGTCTCTGCCTGCTTTCTCTTAACAGTATCATTTCATGCTCCCTTAGGGGACTGGGCTCCCTAGATGGCTGCCGACACAGGGCTACTCCTGACTTTGGAAACAGGGTTTTGTTTTGGTTTGGTTTGGTTTTAATGGTGAATATTTTAATGTTGAATTTTAGCTTAATTGGTATTTTTTTTTTCCCGTTTGCTTTTGGGCCACTGATGGATTCAGCCTCCCTCCTTTTGCTGTTGGGTGTAATTAAAGAAAGATCAGGACAGGAGGAAGCAGTGTGTCGGTGTTTGTAGACTCATAATAAACATTTGCTTTGCTAAAGACAAAAGTTCAGAGGTTCCTGGGCTCCGGCAGCTCCTGACTCTTTTGAAGTGGCTGCGATAACCATCGCCAAGGAGCCTTATTCACGGCCGCGGCCCCTGTGGCTGCCGGCGAGTGGGATCAGAGCCGAGCCCCTGCGTGCGGCTCAGCCCTCACCCGGCCCCGGCCCACGCAGGCAGGTTTATAGGCAGGAGGCCCGGGGAGGTAGCAGGACACCTGCCTTTTCCTGCAAGAAACCTGAGGTGGTTTTCCCACCCAGCGCAGCTGGAATTCCCAGGCCTGTTGGTCCCGTGGCCTATATTTCTGTATAATGCTGGCATCTTTCATTGCAGGAGAACCCCCAGGCCGCCAAAAAAGAAGAAGCGGAAGGTGCTGACAGTCACAGTGACCAAAGGCCAGAGAGCTGCCCGACCCCTGAGCAGAAGGGTAAGGAGGTCTCCCTGGACGGCTCGCAGTACACCCCCTCGCCGGCCTCACAGGAGGACCTGGAGTCAGACGTCTCTGATGACTCCGATCAAGAAGTGGACATCGAAGGTGATAAAGGCTATTACAATCCTACTCACTAACGGCCCCATGCAGAGAATGGACCCTAACTCGGCTTGCACTTTACCAGGGGCTGGTTTGGAAGAATATTATGCTATAGGAGAAAACTTTCACTGTTCCACTGAAAGAAAAAAAAACAACACCAAATAGACTCATTTTATAACAAGCAGAGGAAGAAAGATGTATTTTCCACAGTCAATTTTTGGCAGATCTCTAATTTGGTTAAAGACACATGGTTTGTATTTAATTTGTAAGATATATTTGTACATTAATCGATGTTCTAACTGAAATATAGTACTGCACCCTGTCCTTACTCATGGGGGGTCTGAGTCAGCTGCTGGTGGTGATCAGGCAAAACTCCCCTCTAGTTAGTGTGGAAGTAAGTATGGATTGCAGGACTTTGCATGTGTAAACAAATGTAGTTTAAATAGATTAATTTAAATGCCCTTTGCAAGCAGAGAATTATGATCTGTGAAATAGGGAAGGATTTGACCATCCTGACACAAGTGCCTTATGCTCACACCCTTTTACCTGCCATGGTGCTCTCCACTGAGACATCCCTCCGTTCATCAGGTAGAGTCTTTGGACAGATTCCTTGTTGTTCTTGCATGAGATGAAATGTGCCTTCTCAGTTTTTTGAGGACTTTTGCCCTGCAATCTGGATGGTTCCATTTGCAGGAAAAAAAACCCGTATTTTTCTCCTTGAAAATCTCTAGTGCTGTTCTTAACAGATTTCATATTTGAGAAGAAAATGCAGGGAGTGATAGGGTCCTGCTGCAGGGGAGAAACTGTCATCAGCTAGGGGGGGATAAGTGAGGCACACAGCCATGGGAAGATAATGCCTATTGTATACATATCTGCTTCTGTACATACTAGTTTTCTTTAGAAGTCTTACGGTTTTATACCTCATGTTCATATTTTGTACATATTTGTTCAATGTTTAAAAAAAAAAAAAAGGCAAAACATGGTATTTAATTTTTGATGGACTTGTCTGTGAAATAAAACTAAACTCTGCACCACCTGCCACGCTGGCCGTCCAGTTAACTGTCAGGAGAAATCCCAAACCTTCCCCTCTGCCAGCAATGCCCCAAGTGGGTTGTAATCGGGCTTTTCCCTCCCGTACCATGCCGGTCGCCGGCCACCCCGCAATCTTCTGGGCGCCCTCACCGGGCTCACTGCTTTTTTCTTTTTTCCCCCTCCCCGCCCCCCCCCCCCCCTCTGTTTTTTAGCTTGCCACTCCGCGTTTCGGTTTTGCCCGTGCCCGTTCCCGCCCGCACGGGGAAGGGCTCTGCAGCGGGAGGAGGTGAGCTCGGCCTGACGGCCCCTGCTGCAAGCGAAGGTGTTCACCCCCGAGGCGCCCCGACCCTGGGGGGCCCGTGGGGGCGCGGGTGGACGACGAGCGGGGCCGGCGGGGCCTGCTCGGGGCCGGGCATCGACCTCGGCCGGGGCAGCCGCTGACCCGCCTGAGTCAACAGTGGTTATTCATCGGCCTTTCTGCGAAACGCTGCCGGCCCGGGGGCGCGGGGAAGGAGCGCGGCCCCCGGGGGTGCGGGGAAATGCTCAGCCCGCACCGGCCGGCGCCTTCAGTGCTCCCCCCGGGTGCCGCAGAGAGCACCCAGGGGACAGGGACCTGCCCCCGGCCGGGTGCCACGGAGGCTTTTCGTGCCAGCGAAGGATTTTAAGGGGCAACAATTGACTGTTTGGACTGGCAGGGGGGGGAGGGGGGGGCGGCCTTTAGGGCAGGTGTTGCGTCGCGTCTGAGCGGGTTAATGCTTCGAGAAAGAGCCGCTGAGTTTTCTGAGTAACTCAGTGGCTTTAGCTTTGGTTTATTATTTTAAAACTGCATTCGTGAACGGGGACCGAAAACACGAAGTCAAGGGGGAGGATCCGTGGGTACCTGTTCGTGCCCGCTGGGAAGTGCGCGAAGCCTCTGGCCGCCCCCTCGGGCGAGGAGAGCGGAAACCGTGCCGCAGGGCTCCGCTGAGGAGGGAAACGCTTTTCTGCCCTTCGCGTTTTCCTCTCGCTCAGTATTTCTGTCGCGGGTCTCAGCCCGGATCCCGACGGGGACGGGCACCGCCCGCCGTGAGCCGCCGGGGACGGGCGGCGGGAGCTGCGGGGGGTACCGGGGGCAGGGCGGGGGGGCTCGCCCAGGCACCTCCCGGCCCATTCCCTTCCCTTTTCCCTTCTCTGTCTGTCCCGACTGAAATCGGGGAGCACAGAACTGGCGTTACCTCTTCAGGGCGGCTTCGTGTTACGGCTGTGCGTTCGAGCGGGGACGGGAACACGCGTGGGTAGAGCCGCTGCGACGGGTGGGCAACAGGCGGCGGCCCGGGGGTGCGGGCCCTTGGTGAACTCCCGTAAACCCCATTTCCACGCGGGGTGATGCTGGCATCTCCCGGCCGGCGCAAACCGGGAGCTAGCGTCGCGTAAGGACTTGCGTGGGGGCTCCACTCGGGTGTGTGTCCCAGTCGGTGTAACACGGTCCTGGAAAGCCGGGCTCGTTAAACGCAGGCGCTTTCCCAGCGGTAGCAGGGCACTTGACAGCTTCCCTGCGGGTGGGGAGCGCAGATGCATCGTCTGCAGCCGCCGGTCCGGGGATGTGGATTTCCAAGGTGTCGGGACAGGTGACAACAGCGCCGTCACCCCGGCTCGAGATGTGGAAATGCCCCTGCTCACCCACCCACCCACCCACCCGCGGAGGGGGCTCACCACTTCGCGGCACCTAGGCAAAACACAGAGGCGGGGGGGGGCAGAGCCGCCGGTCAGGAATAGCCCCAGCAGCTGTCCCTACGCCCACAGCCCGTTCCCGCCGCGGGGGAGACCCGCGTGGGGATGTTCACGGTGGGGCGGGCGAGCAGCTCTCCCGGGGCACTCTCTCCTCTCCTCGGCAGGAGAAAAACAGCCAAAGCACTTTACACCGTTCGGGAAAATCCTCGAGCCCCTTCCGTGCCACCCTGCTTTTTCCTATTTGTTTGCCCGTTGGCTATTTCATGCCGAACTAGCACGTATGACCTTTCCAGCACAACTCCCGTCTTGTTTTCGACTTTTTTATCAGCCGATTCAACATGAAAATGGTTATCATTTAGCAGAAAAACAAACAGAAAAGCACATTTTTGTAAGCAAAACGTTAATGATTGGAAGAATTGCACCAATTTCAGCTTGACAGTGTGTGATTAATCCTCCGGGTCAGGTACTTATATTTTTAGTCATTAGGTTCGTCGGCCTTTGAGATGCAGAACTGTTTCTGGCCTAATAGGGTATCGACCCAGCCGCCTATGTACTTTGACTCCTCGCACAGCGCGGCTCCCCGGCCCACGGGCTGCCGTGGCCGGGGCGGGCACAGCCGCCCGCCACGCAGGATGCCCGGGCTGGTCCGGGCCGAGGGGCAGCTGCGGGTGGGGGGCCCCGTCTCCAAAGCGGCGGCCACGGTCATCCCTTGGTCGGCGGAGGCTGCCCACCCGCTGGGCAGGGCGAGCCCGCCCCCGCGGCCGGGCCACCACACGCGTGGGGCAGCCGGTTGGCGCTCGCCGACGGAGCCTCGAGTGCTTCCGCGGTGCGTGGCGGCGGGGGGGGGGAGGAGGAAAGGGGTTGTACGATGTTTGCGATCCTAGACACTTTAATCCTTCATACTGGAACGGCCAGAGCCTCTTTTATTGCACAATAAAAGGAAATAATAACTTAGGGCTCCTAATTGCTTTCGCTGAAAAAGGACCTTCCTCTGGTCATATCGGATAAATTGAAGGGTTACCACTCAGCTGAGGGGACAACAGTAAATGATATTAGGCCCCGAAGATATCTGCTCTTAGATGTGTTCTCAGAGGACAAAAACATAAGACAGACCAAAAAATCGGTGCGTGGGTATTACTATCTTTCAGGTACATATATATCAAAAAGAAAGGTTAGATTTTAAAGACATTATTTTAGCATGTGAAAACTTCGGAAGAGACAGTGCTGAAAAACTAAAATAAGCATCAACAGCAGGTCAGAGTGTTTAATGGTGATTTGGGTTTAGCAAGGACAGAAAGATTTTGTCCAGGTCTGTAGATGACAGCTGCCTACCAGAGAGCCTTTGCTGACTGTGGAGTCTGTCTTACTCTGAATCACAGACGTTGTTGGCTGCAGGCCTCACGGGCAGAGGAGATTTGTTTTCTTCCTACTTATTCAAAACAGGAAATCAATGTGTATTTCTGAAATACTTCAGGTGGTACACACCAAGGCTAAAAACGCTTGACACAATCATGAAAAAGCCTTATCATGATAACTTAAGTGGCTGCATTTCACAACTCCATTGTTTGAGAGCTATTCACAAATGACTGCTAAAACCCGGGAATCTCAAGCAAGTCCAGACTCTGTTATTTTGGTCACTTGGAGTTATACCAGAGAATTATTATTTGGTGGACTCTTTCAATTGAGTTGGTGACTTGTGAATTTTCCCCTGAATGTCAGATACCCACCTATGTCATAAAGACATAATTTCTAATGGGACTAATTGAGATGTAGGTTTTTTTTTCCTACCAGACTGATACCCACCCATGCCATTAAGTCTTAATAATAAATAGAAGTAATAGTAGGGTGTCTTTTTGTTGTTGGCTTTTTTTTTTGGTTGTGCTTTTTTTGTTTCGTTTTGGTTTTCCCATATAAAAAGGGGCCTGACATTAAATGGCCAGAGAATCTGGGCTTATGCTTGTTCTTCAATTGTGGTAGTAGCTTTTTCCTTTTTTTTTTTTTTCTGGAAGTATTATTTAAGATGTCAAAGATGCTAGTACAATTCTGGGAAACAGTTACTCTATCTTGTTCACACTCTAGTCAGCTTGGTAGAAGAAAACAGTGTAAGGCTATGTATTAATGACTAAGAATTTATCTGCTGACTTTGTAGAAGACGACAGTTATTACAAAGGGTATGTGTACATGCATGTAGGCTAGACATTTTCAAGTAGCTGTTTAAAGGAGTAGATTAGATTGAGGGTTTTGTCTGAGTATGTTTCAATAAAAACGAAGTCAAAGTCAAAACCACTTGCTGTCTGGTGGTCTGTAGGAGATGAGTCGGTGCTCACAGCTAGAAATATTAATGCTAAAGACACTGAATTTTGTGTTTGTTGGTACAATTTAGGCAGATTATTTGGGTTAAAAGATTGAATGGGCATGGAAAATGAGCTGCCATTTTATCAGCCTTAGAGAAGAGGCCATTTCCGGGAGACCTAATTCAATCAAGTTTATTTAAGGACTAAAATCCCATCTGACAAACACATAGGCCTCAATACCTTTAACATGATTTTAGAAGGCTGACTTACAGTCAGCCAGGAGCCCAGACTATGACCTGCTAAAACTGAGTAGAAGATGATCTTGATGGACTTTTAGTAGTTTTGCTTTTGAGAAAAGAGGGCCTGACTGAACTAAATCTAGTGAAAGAAGATCTTTTTCTCCTGTTGTCTAGACAAGGCCTTCAGGGTTTCCCCACATGTCAATCTGTGCCATTGCTTTCAATACCTATG